GCCACCTTAGGTGTATGTGGCTGGCGCCTTAGCCGCTTGAGCCACAGGCGCCGAGCCTATTTCCTTTTTTAATTTGAAAAGTAGGTTTGGTTTCCGTAGCACAGTGGTTATGGTACAGGCCACAAGCACCGAGGCTGGCGGGTTCAAACCTGGCCCAGGCCAGCTAAACAACGACAACTGCAACAACAACAAAAAATAGTTGGGCATTCTGGCAGGCGCCCCTACCCCCCAACAAAACAAAACAAAAGTAGCATATGTGATTTTGTGTGGATATTATGAGCTTTATGTAAAGGACTTTCTGTGACCACTGTTAGCAATTTGATTTGTAAAGATGCCTATTTTAAATGTTTTCTAGCTTTGCAAGAGGGGTGTTGAGCTTTAACTTAAAAAGAAATTGTCTTTTGTTGTCTGCACTTGTAGTAGCAAGAATGGGGAGCAAACTGTAATATAGGAGGCTGCCTGCTTTGGGGAAGTCTGACACTAGAGAAGATCACATTTTGCCTGTGGTCACCTTGCTCCTGTGTCACAAGAGGGAAAGGGGAAATGCAGACTCTGAAACCAAGGTGAACATGTTAGATTCTAGCACCATCAGTCTTAGTCATCGTCATTCTTCCTGCTCTCTGGAACGTGGTCAGACTCTTACTGTGCTCCTTGGTGCAACACTGTCCTTGGTTGTTGGACCTCTTGGCTGCAGCTCTGCAAAGTCTGCTCAAACTTGCCTGTTGATTCATTCAAGTCTTTGTTGTTGAACACCTACATATTTTAAAGTATTAGCCTGATTAACTTTCTTGATGTTAACTTTTTGCCCTCCTGAGGAAGATGTGAAGACCAGTTACTAGGATGGTTTTGTTTTGCAGGTCATGAGAAGAGAATTCCTTCTAGAAGCAAAATCACTTCCGAACCCAGAGTGTCTTCCTTGACTTGCCTTTGTTGGGCATCAGCTGCCTTAAACATTCACACCATATTTGAATGTCTTATTCTTCAATGCAGTATTTTTTTTTCCTTTACCTTTTTACACTTAAATGAATTACGTGCCTACTTAACCTGTACTGTGCTGACTCCACAAAATGTGTATTACTCTTCTGAAATAGAAGATGCTGTTCTTCTGAGAAGTATGTTATTTTCTCCTTGGAATCTGCGGGTTTGAAGATGATAGCCCCTGTCTTCTTGCAGCATTGGAATCAACGAAGAGTTTGAATACTGCTGCAAGACAAACAAGATTCCAGTGGGGCTGTCAGTAGGAGAGCATGTTCAGAGCGAAGATCTATCCCAAGGAAATTATACCAAAGTATTTTCAGGATGAATTTCTTGTTTCTGCCATCTTTTGGAATAAATTATTTTTCTGCTTTCTATGGAAGTCTGAGTTCAGTGCTTGTGAAGCCCATTTTTATAAGCTTTTGTACCCCCAGAAATGTCTTTTTAAAAATGGTTTTGTAGGGCCAGGCGCAGTGGCTCACGCCTGTAATCCTAGTACTTGGGAGGCCGAGGTGTGTGGATTGCCTGAGCTCTCAAGTTTGACAGCAGCCTGAGCAAGAGCAAGAGCAAGACTCCGTCTCTAAAAAATAGCTGGGCGTTGTGGCAGGTGCCTGTAGTCCCAGCTACTTGGGAGGCCGAGGCAAAAGAATCACTTAAGCCCAAGAGTTTGAGGTTGCTGTGAGCTCTGACTTCATGGCACTCTACTAAGGGCAACAAAGTGAGACTCTGTCTCAAAAAAATAACAACAACAAAAAAACTGATGGTTTTGTAGTCTCAACTTAGGTTGGAGATATAAAGGCTGCCATGTAGTTTGAGACACGTAAAGAGACTGGTAAGTATTTTTCTTAATCATTCAGTAACCATCTGAGTGCCTATTGTAGCCAGAGCACTAGAGGGATCAAAGATGTGTATATTGGGTTCTCTGAAAGTTCAAGAGCTTATATGCTGTTTACAGAGTTAAGGTCAGTATTCATAGAACTATAATGTCAAGCCGTATTTGATCATTTCCTTTTGGTTACAGTGGTGAGCGAGTCAAGGGTAACTACTACTCACAAGGATAAGGCAGCAAATGCTGCTGAGATGGAACCATCACACCCTCAGAAACAGGGCTGAAGAAATCTAGAGTGATCAGAAAGCCTGGGGCAGGGGACAGTAATATTGTGTTCTGATAGGAGGCATCTCAATACACTTTTGGAGGCGCTTTATTTATTTTAAGGAATTAAAAATTAAAATGGACCTAGATTTTCACTAGATCATGGCTTTTTGAAAGCCAGCCAAGAATGGATTTCCTGTTTTGCAGTTTGTACTTTTCTTATACTCCCAAACTGTCTGAACTCATTGCTTTGCTATTCTTAAGGCCAAAGTGTGAGTTTCAAGTTGAAATGACTCCTGCTTTCGTTTCTTTTCTTTCTATTCTTTACTTTCATTTTGAACTTAAAGTTTCTGTGTGAGTTAGGCAACTAAATACCTTTCTAGCAAAAGGACCTCTTTAATTTTGTGGAATCTATAAAACAAAGTTGAAGGGGCCATGGTGATAAAGGCTAACCCCATCATTGTATATGGAAGGAATCCGCCCAGACAGGGAGAATGACTTGCCTAGTTTAGTGTAGCTGGTCAGAGGCAGAATGGGGAGTAGGATTTATTTTCTAATTTTATTTATTTCCTAATTTTCACTCTAGAGCAGTTTTCTCAGGCCACCCTCCCTGGAGCCAATTCTGGCTCTGGGGGGAAGAAAGAACTCTGCCATTGCAGATGACCAAGCTTTCTCCTACTGGAGCAACTTATGTGAACCTTAATCAATATTTTTCATCTAAGAAAGCAATGCTAATGGTTACTGTGGTATATAAAAGGATGTCACAGTTTTTGAGTTCTGACTGCCTAAGGAAGTAGGACTGCAGTGCAGCTGTGTCTTCTTTAAGATTTGTGGCCCCAGTCTGGGTGTGGTGGCTCATGCCTGTAATTCTAGCACTCTGGGGACCAAGGTAGGTGGATTGCCTGAGCTCACGAGTTCGAGACCAGCCTGAGCCAGAGAGAGACCTCATCTCTAAAAATAGTTAGGTGTTATGGCAGGTGCCTGTAGTCACAGCTACTCAGGAGGCTGAGGCTAGAAAATGCTTGAGATCAAAAGATTGAGGTTGCTGTGAGCTGTGACATCTACTGAGGGCAACAAAATAAGACTTATCTCAAAAAAAAAGAAGAAAAAAGGTTTATGGCCTGATGTCTCTGGGGTTTAATCTAAAACCTCCCCATCTCCCACCCTGCTCTGTTTTCCTGCAGACTGTAATGTTTTTGAAGCAATGTTTTCCAAACTGAGCCTCATTAAAGTTGTGACTTTAATGTAGCAGCACATCTGCATTAGACAATAGGGAGCCTACATCTGACCTTGGCTATGGCATGCCTTGTGGTAGAGATGGTGGGTATCTTTGGGGCGCTTCTCATTGATAATTATGATTTTCACATTTCCATTTTAATGGCACAGTTGAAAGCAGAAGTCATGACTTTGGCTGATAGAACAACTCCATGATTTCTGCTTTATTCTGCCACTTTGTAGTTGTAGTTAACTTATTTTTATACTGCTCATTTGTTCTAGGTGATTTTGATGAGACTTTGAGAAGTAAGCTGAATTACATTGCTTATTGGTTTGCTCTTGGGCTTGTTTGCTGTTTGGTGGGAGTTGGTTCCCACAAACATGAGTAAGGAAGATTCATTGTTGACTGTGCTAATAACAGTGAGGAGACACAGGGGATGAGCACAGAAGAGTCTGGCGCTGAGCCAGTAAGGTTTTGATCATCCCCCAGCAGAGAACATTGTGCTCAGTAAGCCTTCTAAGCCTTCTACGGAAGTAAAAGTCCTTAATGAGGCAGCAGCTCAGGCCTAAACTTACAAGGGTTCTCTCCTAACCCTACCATAAATTATTAGTGAGGCCACAGTGGCCTCTGCATAGAGTAGGAGACTACTTCTGCCTGTAAACAAGAAAGGAGCTCATTTCCTAGGCAAACTGGATGTCAGAGACTCTCCCCTATCCCAGAAAGACTGATTGCAAGGTCCTAAAGGCCAGGTAGCTACATAACTATTGTCAAAATGAAAGGATTATGAAATCAACTCAGATAATTGTGAGGGAAAACTTCCTTTGCCTAGGAAGTCACTTTACCATTGAGCACTTGTTTTCTCAGTTATGAAATTCTTGAGAAGATTAAATGCCATTAATATATAAATTCAGGTGTGTGTTCTCTCCTCACCTTACCCTTGATAACGGAACCATTTTGTTATGACATGACCAGAGTCTTAGGTAGATGTGTACGAGTCATGTTTCTTTCACAGTCCCCTTGCTCTAGTGTTCCCTTGGTTGAGGTTGGATTGGAAGAAGCTCTAGCCCTTTCAGAGGATGCTGAAAATGTTCCTGTGCTTCAGAGCCTTTCCAGGTGAACATAAACATGCTGTAGCCTCCTGAGATGATCCTTCGACTTGGAGAAGTCTTTCTAGGTTTGCAGTCTTATTCCTTCACTTGCGAGCTATGTAACTTTGGGCAAATCATTTAATTTCTGAGCTTCAGTATTTTCATCTAATAAAATAAGGATAATACCCTTTCTACTCTACAAGGTTAGAAAATGGGATAGTGGTGCTGATGATTTATAAATATTATAATACCTGGAGGGTATTTTCCAAAGAAATGACCAAATCAGAGCATACTGGCAGTAGTAGTCTTCTATTATGATAGGATCCAGAGGGACAGCCACGTGACTTATGTGTGTACATGAAGTAAGATTAGCAGAGCACATGATTTTTATTTTTGATTAATCATTTATACTTAAGGGGAGGGAGTTTACAGAAAAATAAAAGGCAACACCTCAGGGCCTCCCAGGCTTAAGTTCCATAGCATAAAAGGCCATAGCATTAACAACATTTAAGTTATATTTCAAAATATGCATCTAGGCATTTTAGAATGATTTTATCACTATCCTTTTTTGGGGGAGAACAGTAGTTATTTGGAGGTGGGGGGTGGGTTGAGACATAGTCTAACTCTGTTGCCCAGGCTGGAGTGCCATTGCATCACCCTAGCTCACAGTAACCTCAAACTCCTGGATTCAAGTAATCCTATCTAAGCCTCCTGAGTAGCTAGGACCACAGGTACCTGCCATAACACCCAGCTAATTTATTTTTAGTAGAGACAAGGTTTCACTGTTGCTCAGGATGGTCTTCAACTCCTGATCTCAAGTGATCCACCTGCCTTACCTCCCAAAGTGCTAGGATTCTAGGTGTGAGCTACCATGCAGAACCACAGTTGTTGTTTTTTGTTTTGTTTTGTTTTGTTTTTTTTGCAGTTTTTGGCCAGGGCTGGGTTTGAACCCACCACTTTTGGCATATGGGGCCAGCGCCCTACTCCTTTGAGCCACAGGTGCCACCTCACAGTTGTTTTTAGAATGGAGTTGGACACTAAACCAAAAGTCATGTGTTACTTTTCCTCCAGCCTGTTTATTTCAGCTTACTCTCAAGAGTTGACTGTTTGAAATTAATTGTAGAAAAGCCATACTTTTCAAAGGAAAAGAGCACAATGTAAAATACCATTGTAAGTTATTTATCAGGCCAGGCAGGGTGGCTTACACATGTAATCCATTAACATTCTGGGAGGCCAAGGCACGCGGATCCCTTGAGCTCAGGAGTTCAAGACCAGCCTGAGCAAGAGCAAGACCCTGTCTCTACTAAAAATAGAAAAACTAACTGGGGCATTGTGGTGGGCACTTGTAGGCTAAGTCAGGAAGCTCGCTTGAGCCCAGGAGTTTTGAAGTTGCTGTGAGCTATGACACAACAGCACTCTATCCTGGGCAACAGAGTAAGACTGTCTCAAAAAAAAGAAAAAAATAGTTATTTATCACAGTGCAATTAATTGGAAACTTAATAACCAACATAAGGATATGCTTACATAAGTCATGCTACTGCATGCAGATGAAGGAATATCAAATAATTTTTGTTTAAAACATATGCCTGGGAAAGAGATCGAAATGGCAGACAATGAAGCTACAACCACTACTCGCCTCTTGATGATAATTACAAATGATCTCAATTTTCCTTTTCCTTTTCAGCATTGTCTCCTATGAAAATGTAATAGTGTAGTAAGAAGAAACAAATTACTTGGATAACAGAGGATAATAAAATACAATGTTAAGAGAAAAAACCCAGGACGTAGGCTTCTGTACAGAGAAAAAAGCCTGATAGGAAATAGACCAAGCTGTTGAAAGTGATTATTTCTTTTACAATTTTGTATATTTCCCAAGTGTTCCACAAGGAGTATATGCCTGTTATTACTTTTTTAATCAGGAAAAAAAGGTATATTTGGGGTAGGACCATTGTTAGAATAGTGTTAGTACTTCCAGTATTACATAA